GAGAGAGAGAGAGAGAGTGAGAGAGATAATGTATACTCTCTCTTTCTCTCTCTCTCTCTCTCTCTCTCTCTCTCTCTCTCTCTCTCTCTCTCTCTCTCTCTCTCTCTCTCTCTCTCTCTCTCTCTCTCTCCCTCTCTCTCTCTCTCTCTTTATCTCCCTCCTTCTTTTTCATTCCCCCCCCTCTCTCTCTTTCTATATATATACTCTCTCTCTCTCTCTCCCTCTCTTTCACTCTCCCTCTCTCTCTCTCTCTCCCTCTCTTTCACTCTCTCTCTCTCTCTCTCTCTCTCTCTCTCTCTCTCTCTCTCTCTCTCTCTCTCTCTCTCTCTCTATCTCTATCTCTCTCTCTCTCTCTCTCTCTCTCTCGCTCTCGCTCTTTCTCTCCCTCCTTATTTTTTCTTCCCCCCCCATCTCTCTCTCTCTCTCTCTCTCTCTCTCTCGCTCTCCCTCCCTCTTTCTCTCCCACCTTCTTTTTCATTCCCCCCCTCTCTCTTTCTCCCTCCCTCTCTTTCACTCTCCCTCCCTCTTCCTCTCCCTCCTTTTTCATTCTCCCCCCCCCCTTCTCTCTTTCTCCCTCCCTCTCTTTCACTCTCCCTCCCTCTTTCTCTCCCTCCTTCTTTTTCATTCTCACCCCTCTCTCTCTCTCTCTCCCATATTCTCCTTCCCTCCCTCTCTTTCTTTCACTCTCCCTCTTCCTCTCTCTCTCAATCTCTCCATTCCCCACCAGGCTTCGGTCGAACAGTGCCAGGCTACCCACGATACAGGTACGCCGGTGACAGTGCCAGGGGAGAGCACCACCTAGTTATCAAGGGCGTGACACTACAGGACGACGGGGAGTATCAGTGCCAAGTGGGACCGACTGCCAACGCCACCGCTATCTGGGCAGCGGCTAATGTCACTGTTTTGGGTATGTGATGATTCAGAATTCTTCGATTTATTTATCTATATTGATTGGAAGTTTAGTGATAGGTGATAGGTAGAAAGTATTGTGAATAAAATGTGTATTGATATGGTAGTTAAAAATAGTAATAGAGATTAAAAGTTTATTGAATATTAGAATGTATTCAGGAAGTTTTATTGATAAGAAGTTGTGATTTTGTTGATAAGTTATAAATAGTATTCCAAAAAAAAATTATATTGATAAGAGATTGGTAAAAAAAAAAAAAATCATTGATAAGCGAAAAGTAGAGAGAATTCTGGAAACTTACTGATAAGAAGTTGGTAAAAAGTTGTAATTTTATTGACAAGTTATAAGTAGCTATCATTCTGGAAGGATTATTGATAAGAGGTTATAAAAGATATTTCATTAATAGATAAAAAAAGTAAAAAGTGTTCTAAAAAAATACATACTGGTAAAAATGTGGTTAAAAGTTACAAGTTTATTGAGGACTGATAAAGTGATAATATTCTGAAAGTCTTACTGATAATAAGCTGATACAAATTCCACTAATAAGTGATAAACTGAACACATTAAAGAGGGCTAATTGCTAAGAATTCAGCAAAAAGTAATTAATTCACTTATCAACAATAAGTAAAAAATATACTAATAAAAAGTCGTTAAAAGGTAAATACATTAGTCATGTTAACAAGAAAAATGTAATATTCCTGTTCATAAGTATCCAAGAAAAAAAATGTGCTTATTGATAATTACTTATATAAGTATGTCCGCAGAGTAATCAACACAGATCGAGAAGTTTAAATTTAAGTAAAAAAAAAGTAATTATGAATTCTTGACGTCAAATTGTTAAGAGTCGGTAAAAAGTGATAATTTCCTTTATGAAATTAGTAAAGCAAACCTAATAATTATTTCCGCAAGTCATATCAGTAAGTAATAACCACAATGAAACAAAGTGGAAAGTGAAATAACTAAGTGAAATAACCAAAGTGAAATAACTAAGTCCTCTGCGAAAAGTAACATTTCTATCAATATGTAATCAGTAAAAATAATAATAATAATAATAATAATAATAATAATAATTAATAATAATAATGATAACAATAATAAGATAACACTTCTTTCAGTGAGTAATTCGAAAAAAACGAATTATTCTATCATTAATTAATCAACAAAAACAAATATATTTCTATCAGTAAGTAGTGAGTCAATAATACCATTTCTATCAATAATGAATCACCCAAAAGCCATACTTCTGTCAATAAGTAATCATTAACCCAACCACCTCTAAGTCACCACCAGCTTTCCATCAACAGCAAAAAGGGACACGACAGAGAAACTCTTTTCTTTTGCAGTAAAAGCTCTATGTTAGGCAATGGTTCTATGTTTTTTTTTTTCTAATGCGAGATGTTAAAGGTGAAGGACTTCGTTGGGGAATAACATCGTCTTTAGTTACTCTCAAACAACTGCATACACACGTGCATATGGGTGTGTTTAGGTGTTTATACATGGTGTGTGTGTGTGGATTTATAGATATAAAGATATATACGTGTGTATGTGTGTGTATGTGTGTCTATACACACACACACACACACACACACACACACACACACACACACACACACACACACACACACACACACATATCTATATATACTATATATATATATATATATATATATATATATATATATATATATACACACACACACACACACATATATATACATATATATATATACATATACACATATAACTACATACACATATATATGTGTATATGTATATATGTATATATATTTATATATATATATATATATTCGTATAATCCCCACATACACATGTACACATATGTGCCCCAATCAAGAGTATTTTTCACCCAACCTCTCCCTAAGTTCCCCCCGAGATCATCAGCATCAACGGGCGGCCGGACGGGGCAGCGGTGCGGGCGCGGGCGGGCAGCGGCCTCACACTCGAGTGCCTGGTGGAGAAGGGGCGTCCGGCGCCGAGGGTGACGTGGCTCAGGAACGGCCTCCAGATGGATCCAGGTGAGTGGGGTGGGTGGGGGTGAGCGCGTGTGTTTGTGTGTGTGTATGTGTGTGAGTGTGCGTGTTTGTGTGTGTACGCGTAATACATGTGTACACACATGTAAAAAAGAAAAAAAAAATTGTGAATCCATCCAAGACTACTGCGTGTGTGTTTGTGTGTGTGTATGTGTGTGTGTGTGTGTGTGTGTACACGCGTAATGCATGTGTGCACACATGTAGAGAAAAAACAAAAACGTAAATCCATTAACCCCTCCCCCTCTCGTTCCCCCTACCCCCCCCCCCCCTTAGGCCAGCAGGAGGACGAGATCCTAGCGTCGCCCTCCTCGCCGCTGCTCTGGACGGTCCGCAGCCGCGTGCGGTTACGGGCGCGGGTGGAGGACGACGGGCAGCGGTACACCTGCCGCGCCCTCCAGCTCACTCCCGAACTTGACGAGAACCAAGACAATCTCGCTCCTCCAAGCTGGAACCTGACCAACTCCGCAGATGAGACGCCGGAGTTTGGGCCGCCGCATGTGCAAGCCGGGACGCGAGAAAACGGAGACACAATAGCCTCGAGGGGAGACTCCGCTATTTCTTCGCAACTTCCGCCAACCTCTTCTCAAGATGCTGGGGGGCCTTCTGCGGGTGGATCTGTGCCCTTGGAAGTCAGCGTCGTCATCTCGGTGTTGTGTAAGTTTATTTATTTATTTATTTATTTTTAAGTGCAGGGTGAACGTGTGAGTTAAGTCTGCCTCTGTGTGTGTGTGTGTGTGTGTGTGTGTGTGTGTGTGTGTGTGTGTGTGTGTGTGTGTGTGTGTGTGTGTGTGTGTGTGTGTGTGTATGTGTGTGTGTGTGTGTGTGTGTGTGTGTGTGTGTGTGTGTGTGTGTGTGTGTGTGTGTGTGTGTGTGTGCGTGCGTGTGTTGTGTCTCTGATGTGTAAGTATACCCTTGTTGTCTGTGTTGTGTATAAGTGTATATACGCCATCCATGTAAGTATATTTTTTGTATAACTTTATTACGCCGTGTCTGTGATGTGTAAGTATAAAGTGTTGTACATGTGTGTTGTACATTTTGCACGTTTTTAAAAGGTTTATTATGTTAGTTCATTCTGTTAGTTTACGGCTATTTTGTGTAAGTTCATTGTATATTATGTGTACCTTATTGCGTCGTGTCTGTTTTATAAGTTGTTCTTTCTTAGTATAAGTATACCCTTACTTTATTTTATAAGTAGTTTTTTCCTATATTGTGTCAGTAGATCGTCGTATTTTTGTTGAGTTTACTATGTGTCTGTTTTATTTTTATTCTACTGGTGGTTCATAGAGAGTATATATATAAATACATTTTTATATACGTCCTCCCTTTGTTTACATGTGGCCTAAAGTAGCAATTACGTCCGTAGTGGGCGAGGCCATTGCTTGGTCTATCCCGAAAGAAAGACATTTTAAAAAGTTCTCCACTAGAAACTTCATTTTTATATGGCAGTCTCAGTGTTTGTTTGCTGGAAAAGTACTGGTAATCATACCAAACAAATTGAAATTTCTAAAAAAAAATCACGTATTTTTTTCCGGCGCGATTATGCACGCGTACATGAACTCTGCAAAATGTTAAAAGCAAACACTAGTGACCTTTCGAATGAATAAAATCAAACTATTTTTTGGTTGTTATTTTCAAAATTCCCTTGTGAGAGAGGCACACTAATAGACAGATATGCAATCAGGCACACAGCTGAGCAGTCAAACTGAAAGGAAAACAGACACAAAGAGAGAGAGAGGGAGAGAGAGAGAGAGAGAGAGAGAGAGAGAGAGAGAGAGAGAGAAAAGGAGAGAGTAAAAGAGAGAGCAATAGAGATTGAGAAATAGAGAGATAACGGGAGAGAGAGAGAGAGAGAGAGAGATACAAACTGAGAAAGAGAGCAAGAGCGAGAGATAGAGAGACTGAGAGAAAGACACAAATTGAGAAACAAAGATAGAGAGAGATACAAACTGAGAAAAAGAGAGAGAGACCAATAGAGACTGAATAAGAGAGAGAGAAAAAAAAAGAGATTAAGAAAGAGAAAGAGAGAGAGAGAGAGAAACAAA